TCGTAAAGCAAAGAATGATATAGGCTATATCAATCATTATCAATCATTATCACTATCAGCCTGTGTTGAGGGGCCTAGGCGACCTGTCCCAAATGTCAGGATGAAAATTAAAATCCTAATTAATTTTCACAGACTATGAAGCTTCTGAAATAAATTTTAATAAATCCAAATTTTTAAAAAACTTCTCGATGCCCCCCCCACCAACCCCGACCTCCCGCTAGCAACACCGTGCTGCAACCCACCCCGTTTGTGACACTGACTCAAACCCTCAAGCAAGCCCTGGCGTTACAACTAGAGATTTCTCGTTATTCCACCTCTAAAGAATTATTTATACTCTTGGTCTTAATTACATTTTACTTAAAGTAGGGAAACATCATTTAGTTCGTATTCTATGTTTTCTATGTATAGTAATCCGAAATTTACATTTTTTTAGAGTTGGTTATTGTATTACCAACATTATCATTATCATTTTTATCATCATGGTCTTTGTCATCAGCAGCATTATGATAATTGTTGTTGTTATTGTTGTTGTTGTTGTGTTGTCGTGGTTGTTCTTCCTTGTTCTTGTTCTTTTTCTTGTTCTTTTTCTTATTCTTGTTTTTGTTCTTATCATCATCATCATATTGTCATTGTCATTGTCACTGTTATTGTTTTGTTATTGTTATATATTAATAATATAATAATAATAATAATAATAATAATAATAATAATTATTATTATTATTATTATCAGACATTTTATCTTTATTATTACTTTATATTCATTATATATATTACATTATATTCTCATCATTAGCATTTCAAAATAATTGTTAATACAATAATTAATATAAAACATACAAATTCCATCGTTCATTTGAGCATGTCGTAAGAATTATGTATATTCCAAAATTTTAAAGTTAAATACTGAGATTACACAGAGTTTTCAAACATAACTGAATATTATTATTATTATTATTATTATTATTATTTTTAATAATAATAATAAATGATAATGATTTTAATAATAATAATAATATTAATAATAATAATAATAATAATAATAATAATAATAATGATAATAATAATAATAATAATAATAATAATAATAATAATAATAATAATAATAATAATAATAATAATAATAATAATAATAATAATAATAATAATAATAATAATAATAATAATAATAATAGTGACTTTTCCGATGGCGTGTTTGCGTCAGAAGAAATAATACGAATCGATGTCTTCCATACCTGGCGTGTTTATTACTGAATGCTCAGTTCCTTATGTTCCCGAATTCTTGCGAAAAAAAATATATATATATATTCCGATGGTGTGTTTCGATTCCCTCCCGGAATCACTTGCGAGATTTTTTCTCAAGCATTTGGAAACTAACTGAGCATTCAGTACGGTTGCACGTCAAGTAGGGCAAAATTCGATTCTGATAATGACAACGGTAAAGATAATCATAATGATAATAAATATAATAACAAAAATAATAATGATGATGATAATAATAATAATAATAATGATAGTAATAATAATAATAGCAAAAAATTAAAATGTACTTTTTAATATATTCTTACTTTACACTGTAAG